TATCGTTAAAAATTAGAAAATTAAGCTTCGTTTAAATACTGGCTCCCTTTCATGGTCGAATGAGTGTTGCCAGCTAAAACACGTAAAAATAATATTAAAGTAGCCAAGACATAGCCAAATATTGTAGCGCCACATCACTAGCGGACATTTGAAATTTGCCGACTAGGACGGTCGGTTAACCAAGGGGTCGGTTGATCGGAGGGCGGATAATCAAGGTTCTACTGTAATAGAGATTAGTATTAGTGATTAAATTGAACTTATAAAATTAATTAAAGGTAACATTAACTATGTTAATAAACTGTTAAATGATCATTGCATGAAACCTACTTTAAACATTAAAATATATATAAAAATGTTTATAATTTCTATAAAACCTACTTGCCATCCAGGAGAAATTCCAAGTGCTTTTGTAGTTCCTAATCCACTTTGTTTTCTCAATTTTGAAATAGCACTAGACTTTACCAATTTATTAGGCCTCTCTAATTTTTTTGAACTGTCATTTAAATTATCTTTTTCAAATAAAAGTTCTTCTGCACCATTAAATGAAGCTGATCTATGGAAAGATTGTAACTTATTGTATGGACTAGATATTATTGGTGCTTCGATTATTTCTACATCAGAATTAACAGTGTCATTTATTATATCCATTTTCTTCCAATGAATATTTGCTTTACCAGGATCACTTTCTATTCTTCTGTGTCCATTCTAAATAAGTAAAATTTTACTACTTAACATGAAATGTTTAAGTTGTTTTTATTTTAATTGCATTTTAAAATGATTCATATAAAAAAAAATGTTTATAATTTATAAAAACACTTTAAAATTATTTGAAATTAATTCACAATTTATTTAATATTAGTATTGATGAATGCTTTCTTTATGTTAATCAAATAAGAAAAATTAATCATCATCAATTTTAATTTCATTAATAAAAAAATATAATTGAAAGAATTTGATAATACATATATCACTAATATAAATTCTAAGGACTTGAAACTGTTAAAAAAAATCCTATTTGTAGATTTAATTTGGAAAATCTATAAATGTGCTTTTGCCTAATGCACAATGTATTATTATTAATCTAAATCCAATTGTATAATAAATTTGAGAAAAATTATAATTAAAAATATGTTAATGAATAAAATTACAATAATTTCTCATTTAAACTATTACTTTATAAGGCTTTATCTAAAAGTTTAACAACAAACAGAATTATGGCATTTGTTATACACATTGGCAATGAAACTAAATGTAGCAATCTTAGAAGGGCTGGTTAATAAATAATCTTTCAACATAGTTCTAAACTAATACTTGTTAAAACATACTAAAATTAATTAAATTTTGAAAACTAAGTGATTTAATTTGATTTAAAATTGAAAGAACAAGTAATTTTTTTTCAATTTTAATCTTTAGGATGCTTTAAAAGAAGAGTTTTTATTATATAATAAAATACTTCTAGAATATGATGTAGCATTAAAAAAATTGTTTGACTAGAATTTGATTCCATCAACCATGAAATCTTTGTAACTAATTGTGATAATTAAATAATAAATGACAATATATTAGTACACAGTTAGTATACATTTGTTGGTGCATCATACTGCAAAAAATAATTATTATTAATGTTTTAAATAAAAAAATTAATATTTATCAGTTTGAAAATGCACACTATTAAAATAATTAAACGTAATCAAAATAACAAAACAAAAAATTCTTTTTACAACTTTTTCATTTCAGCATGAATTAAGTTTACTGCCTCAAATTATACAAATTGGTTAATTTTTATTAAATCCTTATTTCCTAGTTTCCTTATTGACCATGTAAATTCCTTATGTAATTGTCAATTTTAAAATTTGACCATAAATTTGATTACAGTATAGTTTTGGAGTTTTGATCAATTTGAATGTTCCATTTTAAGTTGGTGTACATCATCTAGATTTTACAAAAATCAATTTTTTGAGAAAAAAATCTCATTACTAACAGTTTATTACTTTCATTTATAAAATTAAGAATAAGAAAACATTATAATATAAATATACTAGATATAAAATATAATATAAAATAAAAATACTACATTCTGTATATAAAAAAAATATACAGGATGAAATATGTTTAAAAATATTACAAATTGAAGACTAAATACAAATAAAAATTTGATGTCTTCACAAATTCTTCACAACCACAGGAACACAATTAACATGAGCAGAGTTGATCTTTCCTTTGAGGAATTCCTTTAATGAATATGTAAGCTGATCGGTTTACATGTTTGTAAGCAGAAAAGAGCCTTAAAGGAAACGTCAACTCTGCGCCTGTTAATTGTGTTCCTGTGGTTGTGAAGTATTTGTGAAGATATCAAATTTTTTTTTGTATTTATTCAATTTGTAATGCTAATGTAGGTACATATTAATGTAATGGCAGTGTTCAAACTGATGTTTAAATTCATGTAAATACCAATATTTTAAAAACCTATTTAAAATACTTTTAATATTTCATGCATTCTGGAGTATTTGAAATAGTAAAAAGTACAGGGTAGGCCAAAAGTCCATTATCATTTAAAAATGAAAACTTTTTTGCTATTATTATATTATATTTTTTTTTTCAGATTTTTAAAATACAGAATTTGGAAATAAATTATGGGTAAATTAATGCCAGAACAACATACAGCTATTAAGGCAAATTTTTGGAAAAACAATAATTTCCAGAAATGTGGAGTTTTGTTGACAGTCATGTTCCCCTGATCTGATGGCCCCAGATTTCTTTTTATGGGGATATTTGAAACAGCAAGTGTTCATTAATAAGCCCCAAACTCTTGCTGAGCTGAAGGACAGTATTTGTTAGGAAATTTGAATGATTAATATAGTCATTTTGCAAGCAGTTATGGAGAGTGGCATAGAAAGGGCTCAACTTTGTGAAGAGGAAAATGTGGGTCATTTAAAATTGTTTAGGCCAAAAAAATCTCCAAGATGTGTACATTATAATGTTAAAAAGAAACTTATATAATAATTAAAAGTAAAAAAAATTATTTCATTTTTAAAAGGTAAAGTGACTTTTGGCCCACCCTGTATTTCATATATTTTTTAGTATTTCAAATACCAAATATTATACTTATGTTGAGTATTTGAAAATAGAATTTCCTAGCAAAAATGTTTCAAATAAAATATGAAATATTCTAAAATATTTGAAATAAGAACTGAAATAGTTTTATTTGAAATATCACCCAGCCCTGATTGAAAATTTGAATATTGGAAAGTGTTTTCCATTATTTCTTACAGGAAAAGTTTAATTTGTTCTCAGTCCATATGAATAATCCCAACAAATTACTTAAAACAATACAAACACTGCAAAACACCTATTTACTGTTATATTAAAACATTATAAATTCGAAATACCTATCTTCCTAACAAACACTTTTAAGATCATTAAAGGCTTTGTTCATAAGCAACAACACAATGAATAAGTTTGTATAGAATTATAAATTGTTATATGAACTGCATTTTTTTAATATACAATAGAAACAATAAAAATTTTGTAATGATACTATGCATTTTGTATTAAAGCATTACTGGAGAAAAACAAAACAACAATGATAATAAACAAAATGAGGTAGTAAATCCACTTTAATGAACTCTTAAGATTAAACTCATATGACTGTACTAAAATTTTATGATAAAAAATCTCTAAACTTCATCTATAGTAAAACACAAACATCACTGAAATAAACAAAAATATCACTGAAATAAACAAAAATAAATGTTGAGAATGGAGTCACTTCCTTCTCATCTTTTGCTGTGTAACTTTTAAATTTTTTGGAATTGTGCTTTGAATAAATTTATAATACTGGGATTCTTTGATTTGGATGTTATTTATTACATATTATAAGATCATTCATTGCAGTGGAAAAAATTCAGATACGGAGAGTTTGGATACTAAAATATGGCTGTATTGATTTTCACACCATACTTTATAATTGTCTAAATTCCATACAAAAAAACTGATAAATGCACTTTTTTACAACTGCATTCATTATTTTTTGTAAATAATTCAGATTTCCTGCTAAACTTTTCAGTTGTCTGCAAAATTTTTGCTTGAACTAGGATACCATTTATTATGATGTCTAAATTCAGATTTTTGAAGTGCTTTCATCACCACCATCATCATCATCATTCCTCTTGTGATATTGAGATTGCAGGTATTCATTTACTAAAGAATTTAAATTCTTTAGTAAATGACATATTTATTAATAATTAACTATACAGTTATCACAGTTAAACTGTTACATGGAAATATAATTATTGTAAGTAATTTTAAAAATATACTGTATGAAATAAATGATATTACATATTGTTTGATCATTTGACAAAATACAGAGATGAAATCTCCAGTATACATTGATGGTGCTGTTCTATATGCAAAATAATCTACATATGTTATTCATTTAATAACGATGTATATATTAAATGTTATCAATTTATCTTCTGAGAAAATCAAAGAAAGCTATACTTGTAGAATAAAGTTATAACAAGTACAGCTTTTCATATAATGACCAATTAAATGTTATCAATTTAACAGCTGAGAAAATCAAAGAAAGCTATACTTGTAGAATAAAGTTATAACAAGTACAGCTTTTCATATAATGACCAATTAAATATCTTCACATTTTAAAATTGTAATGTTAGGTTACCTGATCACCCAATTAATACATTAATTTTAAATTACTGTATTTGACAAATTTTAGTAATATTTAGATCAGTGATTCTCAACCTTTTTTTTGTCACAGTACAATTTTAATAATTTAAAAATTTGGCAGCGCACACGGTTACTTCAGTAAGTACCATAGGACAACTAGTGACATCATAACAGTGATTTTTAAACGCAGTTGGTTATTTAGATCACATTTTCTAAACATCTTAGTAACTACCGGCAGTTTCTGGTAACACCGGTTACAATTTCCAAATGCACTCTAGGAAGGTAGAACAGATTAAACTACTTGTCTCACGTCACTTAAGTATGAGGCATTTGCAGTGACAGCACACTTCAAAAATCTCGTGGCACACTAAAATGCCACGGCACAATGATTGAGAATCACTGATTTAGATAATGGTTTCTAATTTCCTGTATACATTTTATTTTGTATTTCATCAAAATAAGAACAAAATATAAAAATAATCTTTTACCTGTCTAAACCAATTTTAATATGTNGATATATATGCATATATATATATATTCATATATATATATGAATATATCTCATAAGTAACACCTTAATAAGAATATGCATAAACATGAAAATATACATTTTGTGAATAAACTTCTCTAGCAAGACATGTTATTAACATTTCAGATTTAATTGTTGGAAATATGTACATTCAAACATAAGATATTAAACAGTTCACTTTTAGAAAGATTAATAATGAAATTAAAATATTACTTTATTTGATGCTGCAGAATTTCTTTTACTGTCTTTAGATTTTGATGCAGATTTTTCGTTTGATTTTGTAGTACATTTTCTAGGTAGACGAAGACTAAATCGTCCACCATCTTGTCGAGACAACTGCTGAGGATTCAGGTGAGAACTAATTTTGTTAGAACTACTTTGTTGTTTGATATTTTCTTTACCACCTTTTTTACTAACAACAGTTGTAGCACTATCTGATTCAATACCTAAACGAGCTCTTCTTAAAGCAAATGCTCTATTCAGTCTCATTGGCGGAGCACTATCACTTTTACCTTTACTATATTGGGAACTTAAAGAACTGGGTTCAGTACTTGTGGAAAGATCAGATACAACACTTGCAGTTTCAGATTTACTGCGATTTAATTCTAGATCTGAATTTGAGAGATTCCATGGTATTCTTCTCCATAAACCACTACCATTTTGAGGCGTTTTAGCTTGAGGACTTCCTTCTGACCGAGTATCTGAAGGAACATAGTGCAATAAAGTTGTGCCATCTAAAGAGTCATCATCACCATTCTGACAATTTTCCTGCTGAGCTATATTGGATTTTGTTTGAGAATCACAACTGTCTAGAGATATATGACTTGATGGTACAATGGTGCTGGATGTAAGACCTAGAGACTTTTGTAGTTTTTGTGACTGTACATTTTCTAAAAATTTTGATCTGCGATCAGAAGTATCTGATGAAATATAAAATGAAGTAGTATTCTGTAAGGAACCAGAACTTTGTTTAGAGTATGAGTCACAAATGCTGTCCTGATTGTTACTATGACTGGACTGATGTTTCTTCTCTTTTTTAATCAAAGAAAGGGGATAATGTCCTAAACGAGTAACATTATTACTACTGCTATCAACAGAACTGTCACTTATGCTTGCATCCAACTGTTTTGGTATAGGAGGAGTAGGAAGACGTCTTTTAGGACGAGCATTTTTTTCAGTTTTTGTTTTAGGATGGCTTTTTTCTAAATAGGATATTTCATTCCCTGCAAATATATTAATTATTATTAATAATATTAAAAATTCCTTTAAATAAGCATTATAAAATGACTTAAAATATCAAACTACACATCTTAAAAATGTCTAGAGATATTTTTGAAAAATAGAAAAGATATTTACATTTTGTTTAAAAAAATGAAATATTTGAGAAAAAAGGGCAATGACCAATCAAAAGCAATCTAAGGTTTATTTGGTTACACATGGGTGATCTGCCAAGGGGAAATGCCTCCCGGGAGATCTTTTAAGGAAAAGGGTCCCTATTTAGAGTTACTAACATGAAGAAAACCCAGAAAACACCGTACTTCTTGTAGATTTTATATACTTTTGTCTGTAATTTTCTTTCTATTAGCCAATTTAAAAACAACATTGAGAAATGAGCTAATAAAATTTTATTTTAAAAACTAATAGGAACTTACTCTAATTTTATAACAACAAAAATAATTCAGACAATAATCATTTGAGTTACAAGGGGAATTTTTACTTTTCATGTTACTAAAGGAATTCATATAGCAAATCAAGTTGAATGACTTTCCCTTCAGCCAATTTCATCTCAAATAAATTAAGGCAATTTTTAAGTTCCTTAATTTTGTATTAAGGATGTTTGACTATATATAACTACTACACATCCACATGTTCTCTTTTTGAACATGGAATTTTTATTCAAATGGATCATATATATATGAAAAAGATAAAAACAACACAAACTATTATTGATTAAACTGAAATAGAATTTTGTGAAAGAGACATCATCTTTTTAATATTAACTAAATAATTCATGTAATATCTTTTTGTAAGACTTGATTCAGTTAAAAATATGCTGTTAATGGAATATCTTCTGATTAATTCTATCATTAAAAGTAAGAAAACTTTCTGAAACAATAAATATAGTATATATAATATATAAAATATCTTGAATTTAATGCATTTTAAAAATATATTAACTCTCTTTTATAATACCAATTTTGTTATTTGTATATTAAAGTTTTTTATTAAATGTATTTACCTTGCTGGCTTATAAGTGTAATAGGTGTTACTGGTTTCACTAAACATTTACTTTGTTCATTTGCAACAGAATGCTGAAAGCACAAAATTTTAATAAAAATAATTAAATTAATATCAGCTTCAAATATATAATAATTTTATATTATTTTATTTTGTAAATAATTAAATTATTAAATATTTTTAGTTAAATTTATCTTTAGCCAATTAAAAAGTTTATTTCCTGATATAAATGAAGAACTTATTATCAAAGTGACATATCTCCATTTTTTATTTTTTTTAGTTCATGGCACCAATGCATTAATAATATGCTTCTCTATAGTGCTACAATATTTTTTCCCCCAAACAGGTGTTTGTTCTGTTGAAAAATGTATCAAAAAATTGGTTTTCTTTTCAAATATGATGTTTTTCGTTTTGTATTTATTTCCAAACTTTCGCATTTCCATACAGCCAATTACAAAGTGTATTTTGGTCACATGACTATTTCACAGTAATGGCTGCTTTCTAAAGTGCAAGTGCTATTGTGTTTGATTGTTTTCTTAATTTTTCTTTAATAATGGTCACATTTTCTGAAGAAGTTCAAAAAATATTTAGTTGATGTGCTAGAAAGAGGTCAGGTACTTTTTTGTAGAAATTTGTAAGTAAAATCCAAAACTCAAGAAAATTTATTTGTTTTGTGATGGATGCAGTGCACAAAACAAAAATTACACATTATTGGCAGTGATAAGTAAACTTTCAGATATATATATTGTATAATTTTTGAGATTATATATCTGGTGCAGAGTCACAGTTAAGGGTGAAAAAAATGTTAATAAAAACTGAACTGCTTCTTTTACCAGAAAACTACAATCAAATTTTTGAGTGTATAAGACAAGTATGTGTTCTTGGTAAAGATTGGAACTTTGTAATTGGAAACTTACAATTCATTAACACATTAAGTCAAAAATGGATTTTAAAATAGCTGAAATGAAAGAAATCAGAATAAACTCTAAATATGTTTGTTGCAAACAGCACTGTTCTGATAGATCAGGTATGTGAAAACATACAATGTTAAAAAGAGATAAAAAAATGGTCATGTCTATTAGTTGATCTGTTACCATTGGGGAATAAACTTAAGCTGGAAAAGATAGATGATGTAAAAAAACTTTTAAATAAACTGGGAATAAATGATGGGCATACATACTGCAAAGACATTTTACAAAAAATGTTTTCTTGTTTAGAAAGTGATTGATTCTAAATAGGCTCTGAGACAAAATAATTACAATATGATTTTCATTAATAATTTTATGTAATCATTAGATTTTTATTTTCTTTCTTTTGGTTAGTATATTTTTTAAACACTGTTATTTATTATCTTCAATCAAATAAATAAGGTTCATGTGATTTTCATTTTTGTTTTGTATCTATTTTGTATACTCTCTTGTTTTTATATATTAAAAGTTTTTTTACCATGTATTTGTTGTTTTTATTACATTATCCATTTAAAAGCTGCAATTTTGTTCTAAAGTGGTTTAAGTCCATGATTTGAAGTACCAAAACTACCATTTTCTTTGCCTCGGGATTTTTTTCACTGTTAAACCTATATTCAGAATATAAAAATAAAGCTCTGTACCAATAATTAAGTTTTTACCTTAATGTTTAAAGCAATTATTTAAAATTTGCAATTTTTGGAAATTTGTATTTTCTGGAGATACATCACTTTGGAAATAAGCTCTTCAAATATAGTTATTTCAGAAAAGACAAGTGAAAAATCTATCCACAAAAACTATCATTTGTTGATCTATTTAAATAAAGATGCATTTCTTAAGGATTTTTAAATGCTGCTTAAATTTTGAAAGAAATGTGATAAATTTATTTTTTTCTACTGTCGTGTCCATTTTTTGGGTTTTTACTTATAAATTCTAAAAAACAATTTAAATTTACATCAAATCAAAAATTAAATACTTGTTTTGCTTTCTTAAATAACTATTTAATCAAATGTTTTCAGCTATTATTTTGGCCATCCTTAGTTTACAAGTAAATTGAAAGGAGTGGAATAAGAAATTCAAAATAAACAACTGTAGAATGATTGATATTAAAAAAATTATATAAGCATTTAAACTTTAAACTATATAAACAGAACTTGATACAGTAAATTACAGTTGTATTGTGGAAGTCTGATAAACCATATCTGCCATTGTAAATATGTTTTTAAAAATGGTTTGAAGTTTGAACAGATTTTAATTTTTTTGTGTATAAAAGGGAAGAGCTTAAGCATCTGTAGCCCATGGAACCATCCCTGGAATATTCAGCAATTAACTTTCTATAGACAGAATTTATAGAACTCAAAATCTGCATCTAAGCATTATTAATGTTTATAATGTTAAAATATTTTAAGGTATAAATGGATAATTGCTCTAAAAAATCTGATTGACTAGTAATTCTGTAATTTGTTCACTCCTCTACAAACTAAACTATTTCAACAACCTTGAACACACTATCAAACCAAAATTCCATCCAGTAACAAAATTTAACACATCTACAAACAATTTGAAATGTTTTGTTAAAGAAATAAAAATATTTTAGTCAAAATATGCTCTAAACGTTAAAATTTTTAATTCAACTAAGAATTACCTGTTTTTCTTTTTCCTCTGAATTAAGATTTGAAGCCTGAAGTTTTTCAATATTCTTATGAATTCCAAATATTTCATCAATTTTTTGTCTTGCTTCATCCACTGCAGGATCATTTAAATCTGTTTCTACTGTATAAGTCCCAGTTTCACTTTTATCATCAATTTCTTTCTGAAGTACTGATCCATCATCTGGACTTTTAATTCTACATTCTGATGAAACTTTAGTTGGAGATTTTATAATGCCATCCAACTGATTTTTTTTATTCCAATTTTGTGACCAATTTGTCATTCTGGGAGAAGATTCAATAGCTGTATTTGATGAAGAAGAATTATAAATCTTTTGCTCACCATTTAACATTTTTTGGATTAAAAAAGTAGCAGCTTCACTTAGTTTTCCTTCAGATGAAACTTTTTCTTTATGTTCTCTTTTTGATGCTAAATCCCATAAAGTTGATTCAGTTGACTGAGAAAGAAGCGATTGTTTGGCATTTTCTAAATAATTAAGAAAAACACATTATATTGTTTTTTTATTAACATAAATTTTTCAAAAGTAGGTCCTAATCATAAAAATAATTTAAATTCATAATTGCAAGGAAATAGTTTGTAATTTACACTTAGAAAAATTTCAGAATTATAAATTATATAATAATTTGCCTTTTAAATATCAAAATATTTCTATTTGCTAATGTAACATACAAAACATAATGATAAATAGTTTCATTTGTGTTTAAGTCATTTAAATCTAACTTTTTTTCAGAAGTAATCAACTATTATAAATAAATTAGGAAAGAAGAATATATTTTTAAAAGTCAAACCAAATTTATCATCAGATAAAGTATGTTTTTCTAAAATTATTCTATCCCATCTTTAATCAAATTATCCAAGTATTTATTCATTGTTCTTCAAAATATATGCTCTGTTCTAATTTAGAACTTTGAACTTTAAACTAAAGATGGACCTGAGGCAGACTTGTAAAGTAAACCAAAAATGTTTGTTGGAAGAGTAAAGCAGTGAGGAATAGAAAGTCAAGGTATTGTGATTATAAGTATTTATATAAACTGGTATAGTTATGGGCTTTCTGTATACTCTAGCACAGTGTTTCTCAACCTCTAATGAATCATTGCCCCCTTCAATAAAACCGTTATGTAGTATCGCCCCCTTCACTACAAAATTCCGATGCCAGGGGACAAGGCTAACACCAAATTCATACTGCGTTGAATAGACTAGTGACTAGTATAATGTTATTTGTTTAATTATTGTACCATATAACGAATAAAACATCTAATTATTCTTAATATAATGTTTTACTATATCACCCAGAAAATTGTTTTTCGCCCCCAAAATATAAATTGTTGCTAATCGCCCCCTGAACATGGAAAAACGCCCACATGGGGGCGATATTGCTCCCATTGAGAAACACTGCTCTAGCACATAACTTCCCTCTTTTAATTTTATTGTGATATCCAATTAATATTGTATTGTTTTTTTTCTATTTGGTCTAGAATTAATACTAGTATTAATTCTACATCTCAAGATTCAATTTAGCTTCTATACAAAATTGATGTACTTACTTCCCTGTCTCCATAACATTAAAAAATCATCTACATTAATGTCCACATCAGTGGAGCATGTGGAAATTTTTAGAGGTGTGTGTGACAAAAACAGTATTGATCAGTTGCAGATTAAGTATAAAATAAGTTGTTAATCTTAAAATTATAATAAGTAAGAATACAGATATCCCTCATACAACATAGAACTTCTACAACATGGTTTCATCTAACACAATTAGAAAACTGAGGATATCCCCATACAACACAACTTCTGGTTTCACTCTAACACAGTTTGAGAATTTGGAAAATTCTCCATACAAAATTACACAATTTTTAACTACAAACAAACTCTGTTATTCAATATTTTTTTCTTCAAGTAAGAATGTGTGTTGTCTCAAATTTGCCAACAGATTTAGAATATTGAAATTTTCAATTTGTTTTGTGTCTTTCATCTGGTTTACTTTAATGAAAACTGATAGGAGAGCTAGGACAAGAAAAAATTGCACTATTAACCAGATGCTGTTGTTGTTGCTTTAGACCAGTGGTTCCCAACCTTTTTTCATTAGCGTACCCCGTGACATGTCATATCTCTAGATTGTACCCCTTGACATGTCATATCTCTAGATTGTACCCCTTGACATGTCATATCTCTAGATTGTACCCCTCATTTAAGAAATTTAGTGAGTAACCGTATTGTTAATTTTACATATTGTAACTTTAAATTAAAGAAAAAAAACCTAAAAGAAAAAATGTATAATAAAGTTGTGATTGTTGCAAGGAACATTTTTTATCTAATAATTTTTTAATACTGTTAGTTTGCGATACATAATATATTATTTTTTCTGCCATAATAACTAACTTTTTTCTGTACCCCTAAACAACCTATCGCATACCCCTAGGGGTACGTGTACCACAGGTTGGGAATCGCTGCTTTAGACTATCTTTAAGACTGTCAGTATATTTTTTTTTATAGATTAATGTTTGCATTTAGTATAGTTTATTTTTAAACATTTTAAAGTAATAAGTAATATTAACCTTTTTTTAATCATAGGTAAGTAATCATTCATAAAAATGACTAATGAAATACAGTGGTATCTCAGTACTCAAACGTTTCAGTATTGAACACAAAATGTAGAAAAAAAAATTGTTCGGTCCTTGATTGAACAAATGCAAACTGCTAAAACAAATTTTTATTTTGTCATACATAAAAAGTTTTTTTGGTAAAATATTGTTGCTGATATTTCTGATCTAGATCAAAAAAGGTCAGATGACAATAATACATTATAAAAAGAAAATGTGTTTAACTAAAATCAATATTAACACATAACCAACAATAATAACAATTTAAAGTACTGTATTAAGTATTGATTGTTTTAATAAACATATTTCTCTTAGTAACAAAAAAGAACAGTATACTTTTAATGTCCACATCAGTGGAGCATGTGGAAATTTTTAGAGGTGTGTGTGACAAAAACAGTATTGATCAGTTGCAGATTAAGTATAAAATAAGTTGTTNTAAGTATTCCTTGTTTTAATAAACATATTTCTCTTAGTAACAAAAAAGAACAGTATACTTTTAATGTCCACATCAGTGGAGCATGTGGAAATTTTTAGAGGTGTGTGTGACAAAAACAGTATTGATCAGTTGCAGATTAAGTATAAAATAAGTTGTTATAACTTTTGAAACCTAACCCCCTGTTTTGTATTAGTCCTTTGTCTTGTATAGAATGGATTTGCATAAACATGACACTTTTTCGGAATGTAATCACCATGTTATAAGAGGGATACCTGTAAATAATTTTTCTGATACTATTTTTTCTAACTTTACTAACTAACTAATACTTTTCTAACTTTCCTGATGATTTCCGCTGTATAGGTTGCATGTTGTTTTTCTTACTGGTGTGAGACTAAAAAAAAGTTTGCTGACCACTGATCTACACATCTGAAGAAACTCAAAATCTCATTCTGAAATTTATATATAGGTATTTTAATAAATGTCAAACATAACTCAGTAAACTCTTGTGATACTAAAGAAGTTAAGAGAGCTTTTATTTTTTTTTTTGTTTATAAAAGCCATCTTCAAAGGCAAAATAGAGGTATATAGTTGTATCAATAAATTCCAATATATAGTTCCAGTTATCTTTTCTGATATAATTATATGCCAGTCTTGTTGTCAGAGAATTTGTAGCTATTAATTGTAATTTTTAATGCTAGTCTTAAAATAATTTAAATTTAAAATTTAAGGAACCTGCTATTATTACCTTTCAAACTTAAAATACAACTTTGAAAGAAATAATAGCAGTTTCAAATTATCCAATAATTCAAAATTAATCAGACTGAACTATATGTATATAAAACCAGATTTAGGATGATGTAATTTATAGTAATACAATAATTAAAAATTTAATTAAAAATTAAACATAGATATTTTCTTAACAGGAAACAAACATAATTTTTTTAATAAAAACTTTAAAAGAATATTGATATCCTGTGAATAAAATTTTCTTAATACAAAAAACAATTTATGACAAAAACTATTATAAATATAATACTTCTATGGATTACTGGAAAAATAATTTCTAAGATTTTTTAATCAAAGATTTCATTTTTCTTCCCTTAAAGATTTATAGTTATATACAAGATCAATGATACAATAACAAAACTAAAATTTATTCATGAAAGTACTTTTGCCTTTTACACAATTAATGGTTTTTCAATCTAAATAGAATATAGATTTATTATAGACTGAAGAAGTTAACTGAACATAAATAGCAAGAGAAATGAAAAAAAGGCATATTATATTTTAAATAAACAAACTTATGAAACAAATATTTTTATACCCTGAATCCATTTCTTTGAAATATCTGGAGCTGATAAAGTTATATCTTTCATATCCAAAGAGAGAGCCTAAAACAAAAATTCATTTTTATAAATAAATATTGAAGATAAATAAAAATATTTTATATTCAAAGCATTTATATGATTAGCTTTCCAATTCCACTTGATATAATTATTATTAACCTAATATGCTATCTGAAATTATTTAATCTTAGAAATAATTATAAATAAAGCAACAGTTAAACGTAAGATACCTATCACTCTTAAAATCTCTTAAAATGGAATTTCGTAGTTTTCTTTCTTTAATCTTGAAACAAATAATTTTTTAGCATTTAAAATTTGTTGCGATTTAATTTTTCCCATAAATTTTGTTTTTAATGATTTTATATACTTCCAAAAATAAGAAAAAAAAAAGTTATGCTTTTATAAATGAAAGATTAATATTTATCATATATATATATATAATTTAAGATTATTTATTATATATATGCTACCTGAATTGTTCATTAACCAATTATCAATTTACCATATGTTTGTATGGGAATTTGATTAATTGGTTCTGGAGACCCCAAAAAATAAAAAAAAATAAATATATATGCAGTCTTGCATTTTTATTAGTCATGTTTTTTGTTTGTGGGGTTAAAGAATCTGTCTAGTGTCGATTGCTTTTTTCTCTTCTTCAGGATTTTCATAAGTAATTAATAGCATTGTAATTGTAGAGATCCCCAAGCCTATTAACCTCAACCTGGTTTGTATGTCATTCTAAGACCGTTGATCTAACATCCCCCACTTCTTCAAAAAAATCTATAATTAATAGCAGATATCGGCATTAATCCTCTTTTTCATAATAAAACATATCTCGCTGAGTTTCTTCGTGTTCTCATTCAAGAGTTCTTAGCGTTCTTCTGTCGTCAGATTCGTTTCAGGTTCCATTATAAGCTCTTCAATGTTCTTTATTTCTCAGAAGTGATTTTTGTTACTCCTTTAGCTGCTTGAGTCTTCTTGATTATACTGTATCTTTCTTAGATAAGATTGAACTGCACCCTACTGTAGTTTTATTCAAGCCATACTGCCCAGCAACATCAGACATCTTCTGCCCACTCTCTACTTTTGCTATTTTACCTTCCAAAAATAAAACTAGATGCAAAACTTAGAGTCCCTGTCCGACAGTCTCGTGAATACTATAAAAGAATTGTTTCTGTCAGAAAAATAAAAGGCTGGAATTACAAGGGAGAGTTTCAAAGTTTGGAGGAATACTATCTTATGAGTATATTCCGGGTTGAGTGTTGATGTCTCCAATATATATACAGTAGAACCTCCATTATCCGGACCTCCATTATCCGGATTTTCGATTATCCGGATTGTTCAAAATAAACAAAAATTTTACGAATTTGCTGATTTGCACTTGGCGAATTACGACACTGTTTATGTTCATGATGGAATGCATAACTTTTTTTGTTTCAACAACGTCTCAC